CTGCCTGGAACTGGCCTTCCTTTGCCTTTTTTCAGGACCTTCCGGACGCGAACTTCGGCCTCGGAGGGCTCGGGTGTGCCTCATCCCTTCTTCCCAGGATTTGGCGGAAGCTGCGATGCAGACGGGTGAGGCCCAGCCTGCAGGTGAGCGGCTCCCGGGGCAGGACCCAGAGCGCCGGAGTGGGGGCCGGTGTCGCCCCTCCCTGGTGGTCAGCCCTTTCTCTTCCCTCCACCGCCTCCCGTAGCTGCAGCCGGCCCCCCGCAGCCCGGTGTCCCCACCACATGAGTGCCTTTCACGTGCCAAAGGAAGGGAGGCGGGCCTGTGGGTGCAGGCCGTGTGGAGTGTGGGCTCACAAGACTGAGGGCTGTTGTCCCTCCCCGCTGGGCTCATGAGAAGGGAAGGGACAGACAGGGTAAAGTGAAAAAAAGAGGGGAGCGTTTAGTATCCCAGACTCTTCCTCCACCCACCTCCTCAGCCGAGGTTCTTCCTCTCGCATCAGGAGGCGCTTCACAATTGACAACTTTGAAATCGGGCGACCTCTGGGCAAGGGAAAATTCGGAAATGTGTTCCTGGCTCGGCTCAAGGAAAGCCATTTCATTGTGGCCCTGAAGGTCCTCTTCAAGTCCCAAATAGAGAAGGAAGGACTGGAGTACCAGCTGCGCAGGGAGGTTGAAATCCAGGCTCCTCTACAGAAAGGACTGACTCCTTCTGAGAGGCCCGCACTGCTCTTTGCTCTAGTGCTCCCGTTTTCGCTTCTTTCCCTGACATCTGAACCCAGCACTCCCCCTTGTGGTATTCCAAGTAAGCTCTTAGCTTTCACCTTGCAGGTTTTTCTCTGCTGTTCATTCCGATTACGCCATGGAAAAATCCCTTCCTGTGTCAGACATCTAAGTGTCCTGTTCTCACTCACTTCCAGATCCAGCTGTTACTATTCTGGTATAATAATAACAGAACTTGCCATTTGTATGATCACTGGTAATAACATGTAGTACTGGGCCTCAGGGAGAGGTCTGACCTTTTCTTATCCCTCCATCAGACAACCAAATATCCTACGCCCGTACAACTACTTCCATGATGCTTGCTGGTGTACCTGATTGTGGAATATGCTCTAAGGGGTGAGCTCTACAAGGAGCTGCAGAAAAACCACACATTAGATGAACAGCATACAGCCACGGTGAGGGTGTGCGGAGTGGAGGCTCTTTAGTCCATGAGTTTCTTTTGGGCTGATGGGGGTGGGGGGGTGGGGTCTCTGTGGTTATCATGCACCCCTTCCTTTAACTTTGTCTCTGAACTTTATTCTTTAAACCTTATATAATGACACACAACACTCTACAACTCCTTTTTTCTTTTTTTCTTCAGGTTTTTGTCATAGGGTACATACAAGTGCTGGAGAGAGGGAGAAGGGAAGTGAGAAATCACCCACCAGGGGGATGGCCATACTGAAATTCCTTCTCCATTCTCCTCTCGGGATTCTAGGCATGCACATACATGCAACTCGTGTGATTTTCAAGTTGCCAGGTCTGGGACTCGAACTGTGGTCAGCCACATGAGAACCCAGCACCTTGACCACGAGGCCACCCATAACTTCACTTTTAAATATGCTAATTACTCCCAGTGTATGTCCAGAGTATTAATAAGCAGTATATATAGGTTTGGATTCTTTAGTTGTAAGCAACAGAACTTAACTCCACTAACATAGGCAAACATACTGAAAGGCCATGAGGAAATTCACTGAATAATAAGAGGAACTGGCTAGAAATAGGCAGCAAGAGTTTATAGAAGGCCCCAAAATGGGAACCACAGTAATATCTCCTATCTTTCCTCCTGTTTATCATTTTCCTCAGGCCTCAAATCTTGGAGAAGATCATCTTATTGGCTTAGCATGAGTTTTGTGTGGCTGCTCACTGTGCTCAGGCAACAGGATCCATCCACATAAAATGAGAGCAAAGAAAACCTCTTCCACAGTAACTATGGTACTATTAAAAAGAATGCAATGGAGTTGGTAGCCAAAAAATAAAAGATTCTTCTATAGGGGTTAGCAGGTGGCATAGTGATTAAGGCACTGGATTCCCACATGACCAACTGCAGTTCGAGTCCCAGACCCAGTGGCTTAAAACTCTGCCACATTGCTTAATGCATGCGTGCCCAAAATCCTGAGAGGAGAATGGAAGAAAAGGAATTGAGGTGTGGCCTTCCCCTCTGGGGTGATTTCTCACTTTCTCTTTTTCTCTGTCACTCTGGCAAGCACACACATAATGTAGCAAAAAAAAGAGAGAGAGAGAGAGAGGATTCCACTGTAGTTTTAAAATTAATAATGAGTGTTCTACCTCAGTGTCAGTCTTTACTTCTGGATTGCTTTTTTAAAAATAATTATTTTATTTATTTAAATTTGATTAGAGAGGGACAGAGTGAGAGAGAGAGAACAAGAGAGAGGGAAAATGAGAAAGCAAGCTGCCAGATCCAGGATTCAAACCACAGTTGGCCATGTGGGAGTCCAGTGCCCTTAACCACCGGTCCACCTGCCAGCCCCCAGATTGCTTTTTCTTTGCTCACACAGATAATGGAGGAGTTGGCAGATGCCTTGACCTACTGCCATGACAAGAAGGTGATTTACAGGGATATTAAGCCAGAGAACCTGCTCCTGAGGTTTAGGGGTGAGGTGAAGATTGCAGATTTTGGCTGATCTGTGCACACCCAGTCTCTGAGGTAGGTTGGGTGGTGGCCATCCCCCCTGTAGGGTGATTTCTTGCTTTCTGTCTCTCTGGCAAGTGCACATGCCCTATAGCAAAATCTTTCCAAAATTTTTTTAAATGTCTCCAAACCCACATGCTCAGGAAGTGCCTGTCCAGGTTGTTCAAGTGTTTCCCCTACCACTGGAAGGTGGGCAAGCAGGATTTCCCTCATTCTGGGTCTCTACACAGTACTCACAACTTTACTGTCTTCTAGGAGAAAGTGTATGGGACTCTAGACTATTGGTCCCCAGAAATGATTGAGGGAAGAACATATAGTGAAAATGTGGGTCTGTGATGTATCAGGGTGCTCTGCTATGAGTTGCTTGTGGGAGATCCACCCTTCGAGAGCAGTTCCCACAGTGAAACCTATAGACGCATTCTCAAGGTTGGTGATGACTGCTGGGCTTGTGGAAACTGGGACACACACATGCAAAGTTGTGTACCAAGGTCCAGAACAGTGCCTTGCAGAGACTCAAAGAACAGAGAGAACACTGACAAAGAAATTTACCAGACTTCTTTCCTCTTCCCTGGCTTTATCAGGTGGATGTGAGGTTTCCCCATTCAGTGTCTTTAGGAGCCCGGAATTTGATCTCAAAGCTTCTCAGACACCAGCCCTCAGAACGGCTACCCCTAACCCAGATCCTAGAGCACCCATGGGTCCAGGCCCACTCTCAGAGGGTGCTGCCTCCCTATGCTCAGATGGCTTCCTGAGCCCTGTCTGCCTCTGTTCCTTTATGTTTTATTCAGGGAGCTCTCCTGCCTCTGCTAATTCATCTGTTATCTTTTTTTCTTCTAAGATGCAAGATGCTAATTATTAAAAGCTGAATAATTTTGTACGTGGTCTTTATAGTTATGTGGATTAAGTAGAATTGGCTTTAAGATTATGCCCCCCTAATTCCCAAAGTCACTCCTAGAGATAGTGACTTCATCACTGACCTTGAAAACAAGCGCCTGCAGGTAAACACCCTAGGGCTATATTATCTTGGTGTGGCTCCTTGACACAACTCGCTCTTCCTCATGTTTCAAGGAATATGTCATTTGTGCCGGGTAAGAGTATTTTCATATGAAGAAAGACTTGGGGGACCAGCAGTTAGCATAATGGCTATATTGCTGGACTCCCATGTAGTCGACCATGGTTCGAGTCCTGGACCTGATGGCTTAACACTCACACCAAGCACGTGTGCGGGCATGCCCAGGATCCCGAGAGGAGAATGGAGAAGGGATTGAGGCGTGGCCATTCCCCCTGGGGGGTGATTTCTCGCTTTCTGTCTCTATGTCTCTCTCTGTCTGTCTGGTGAGCGCAGGCGCCCTATAGCAAAAACCTCTCCAAAAAAAAAAGAAAGAGTTGGAACAAACATATGATATACCAACAAGGACCAGGTACATAAATAATGGTTCACTCATATAGATAAAATATACTCCTGAAATTATGGAGCAATAGTTCTTAATTTATTTATACAAAAAAATGGAATACTTACATATTAACAATCCCTTCTCCATTCTCCTTTTGGTATTTTGGGCAGAAGCATAAATGTGCTTGGCCTGTTTTTCAAGACACCAGGTCCAAGAACTCAAACTGCACAATTGGCTACATGGGATCCAGCCACCTTGACCAACATGACATCACCTCTTTTTAAATCACATACATGATTTAAATGGTTAACGTTCCAGACACCAACGTGACTAGCTAAGATTTAAGTCCCAAACTCAGTAGCTTGAAACTTAAGCCGGGCCCATGTGCATGCATACCCAAAGTCCTGAAAGGAGAACTGAGGAGAGGGGATTGCAGCAGGCCATCCCCCTTAGGGGGGGAAAGTGATTTCTTGCTTTCTCTCTGTCTCTCCAGTGAGTGCACATGCCCTTAGCAAAAATATCTCTTAAAATAAACAAACACTGCTTACAGCAATTTGGGAAGTACCCTTCCAACCTGTCCCTATATTCTTTCTGTTTCATGTGGCAGCTGCTGGTTGCATCTATGGTAAGCTAACTGCACTAGAGTAAACATCCAGGCTCCTCAGCTGTGTCTTCTCAGTGCAGCCATTGTTTCCAGCAGTGTTCCCCTTGACTAAAAATACTTTATATGGTGGGCCAGTCAGTGGTGTGGTGGTTGGGGTGGCTGGTCAACTGCTTGATTTTAGTGCCGGACCTAGCAGCTTGACAGACTCGCCCAGTGTGTGTGCCTACATTCTCAAAAAATCTCAAAAGGAGAAGGAGATTCCATTCCCCATGGGAGATGTGCTTTGTCAACTTCCCACTTTCTAGTGATCATACATGAAAAAATACTTTGGAGCTGGCAGGTGGCATGGTGGTTAAAGACATTGGACTCCCACATGGCTGACCACAGTTCCGAGTCCTGGAACTGGCAGCTTGCTTTCTTACTTTCTCTCTCTCTGTCTCGCTCTGGTCAAATTAAAAAATAACAATGATGGTAAATAAAATAAAATAATTCTTAAAAAAGAAATGCTTCATTAAATGTGTTATAATTTTGTCTTTTGACAGCACTGGTGACCCAAAGCACACTACTGAGGACAGTTCCAGTATGAACTCAGCCCCGTGGTCCTGAGCCTCCACCTCCCTCCAACTTGTGCCTGCTGTAAAGAGATACATCCCAGACTGCTCTTGGCCCCCGCGCCTGTGTTGTGTATTTTGTTTTTTGCTACAGGCACGTGCTCTGACCAGAAACGGGCAGACTGAGAAAAAAAGTGAGAAAGCACGCCCGGAAGCGGGGACAGAAGTGCAAAGGGAGTGCTGTCACATCCAATCAATCCCTTCGCCATTCTAGGAGGGTGTGGCAAATACGCTCAGCGTCTTTTTCGGTCTCCGAGGTCCGCCCAGCGAGATTCGGCCGCCTGAGCCTCCGCGCCCTCTGCCGGCGCCTACCGTGCCCTTTACGCGGAGGGAGGCGCTCGCGAAATCCCGCGTCTGGGCTGTTGGCGGAGGAAACAGGACACTTTGCGTTACCCAGAAGGCATTCCGCCTGCGTCTGTGGCAGGCGCTGAGCCAATGACAGCTCGGAGGAGAGGCGTTTCCTGCCGGTGCAGGATCTGGGGCGGGACTTCCGGTTCACTTGTGTCAGACGTCATTTTGGCGCGACTGTTGGGTCCCGCCGGTTGCGGGTGGTGAGTGGTTTTCCGCGGCGGCTTCCCAGGCTGCTTTTCAGAAATCAGTGAGGAAGAGGATGAGACTGACCTCCGCTACTTGGGTCGGGCCGAGAGCCTCATGACGCGAGAGTGAGGCCGTCGGCCAAGGTCACCCCACCCGGGACGGGGAAGGGGCCGGGGGTCTCGGGAGCCGCCCCGGTCGCCGCATGCCGGGTTCTGCTCGGTCCCCAGGGTCGCAGGATGGCGGTGGCGCTTAGGGACCCGGTGCAGGTGAGTGGAGGAGGCTTTAGGCTTTGCGGCCTCTGCGCTAGTTCGAGAGACGTCCTGCGCAGGCCCGAGGCCCGGAACGCCCCTGGTTTCTCTGTGTAGTTGTGTTTGTTTGCGAAAAAGCGTGGCTGGCTCCTTGCTTTTTGTGCCTTAGCAGAAGACAAGACACTGAATATACAAATAGGCAATAACTAAACCATACATAAAAATGGGACTTTGACTCCCAATCCGTAGCCTCCTCCTAGGAAAGTAACCCTCTTCTATAAGAAACAGCTCTGGAAAGCAGCCTGCTCTAAATCAGACGTGAAGCCAAGTTGCCATCTCTAGAGACAGTCCAGAAGCCGCACGCTCATCTCCATAACAATTGCCCCGAAATTTCATAGTTAGTAGGGAACTGTTTGTTCTATTTTGTGTTCCTTCTTCCAGTGTAGGGCCAACCAGAGGAAGCCATGTATCCGCCTGCTAACCAATCACATGGGGTGCTCTGCTTCTGATTAGTCCCACCGCTTCCCCAGCTAGCAGGATCAGGGTCAGGGCCCCAACATGTGCTCATTACTCAGTTGATAGATGAGTGAGGCTCCACCTCAGGGGCTTCCATATCCCTATAATCCAGTCTGTTAGCTTTGATCAGCATGTCTCTACCCCATCTGCCCTGACACCAATCTGACCTATTCAAGTCTTCCCTAGCTCACTGCTTTTTCAGACACTCCAACCTGACCATGAAAAATTCTCTTCCACATGGCAGACATCATCGTTCTCACAGTTCCCTCTCCTCAGATGCTGTCCTTGGATCTCTGCAGAACTACCCTTCCCATCTTTCTGGCTCTGCTCAAATGTTCCATCAGAGAGACCTTTCCTGGCAGTACAGGCTAAAGGTGCCCCTTCTCCACTTGCTCTTGGTCTGACATTTTTGCATACAGTATCTGCCAAAATACATGCATATATTTTTAAAATAACTATTTAATTTAACTTATTATTACTTTTTAATTTCCTGTAGGACACAAGCACTCAACAGAGACAGAGAGGGAAAGTGAGAAAACAAGCCTCCAAGTCTGGGACTTGAACCACAGTTGGTCATGTGGGAGTCCAGTACTTTAACCACCACACCACCTGCCAGCCTCCATAATATATATATATTTTTAAATTTGTCAGAGAGTGTACACACTTACCAGAGAGAGAGGGAAAGGGAAAAAGGATCCCTCATAGGGCATGGTCATACTGCAGTTGCTTCTCCATTTTCCATCCTGGGATTTTAGACTTGCATGCATTTGTGTCTGGCATGTTTGGGATTTTTTTGTTCTTTTCTTTTGGAGAGTTTTTGTTTGTTTGGTTGGTTTGTTTTGTTTTGTTTGCTACAGGGCGCGTGCACTCGCCAGAAAGACAGAGAGAGACAGAAAGTGAAAAATCACTCCCCAGGGGAGATGTCCACACTGCAGTCCCTTCGCCATTCTCCTCGTGGGATCTTGGACACACATACACACATGCACCCAGTGTGAGTTTAAGCCACTGGGTCTGGCATTCAAACTGCCGTCGACTACATGAGAGTACAGTGACATAGCCATTATGCCAACTGCTGGTCCCTGCCTGGCATGTTTTTAAGCCATTAGGGCCAGGACTCAGACCACATGGTCAAGCATGTGGGATCTGGCTCCCCTAACCACTAGGCCATGAGGTCAACCCTGGTAAAATGTTTTTAAAAGCCACTGGGTGGAGGTTTCCTGGATATTGTGGGGACAAAGAGCATAAATAACAGAAAAGCCTTAATACACAGCCTACATTGAGTCCTTGATGTGGGCTGGCATTGTTTATAATCACCTCATTTAATCCTTGCTTCCTTAGTTAGGTTCTATTATTATGACTGATCTACACACGAGAAGATTAAGACTCCAACCTTTTTTTAGGATTATTTATTTACTTAATTTGTTATTATTTTTTAATTAGACCAGACAGAGACATCGAGAGAGAGAAAGAGAAAGCAAGCCTCCAGGTCCAGGACCTGAACCGTGGTCTACTACGTGGGAATCCAGTGCCTACAACCACTATGCCACCTGCCGGCCCCAAGACTCCAACATACTAAATTACCTGCCCAAGAGCTAGCTGACATGTGGTTAAGGTAGCTGGATCCCACATGGCCAGCTACATAGTTTGGGTCCTGAATCCAGTGACTTGAAATATATGCCGGGTTGGGGACCAGCAGGTGGCATGATGGTTAAGGTGTTGGACACTCCCACATGGCAGACCACCATTCAAGTCCTGGACCTGGTGGCTTGCTTTCTCACGTTCTCTCTCTCTCTCTCTCTCTCTCTCTCTCTCTCTCTGGCCGATCAAACTGGGAAGTAATAATAATAATAAAAAAATAAAGTTAAATAATTCTTTTTAAATTATTTATTTAACTTTATTTATTTATTCATTTATTTAATTTTGACCAGGGAGA